GCAAGATGGGGGCAGGGTGGCTTCAACTGAACTGAAACACAATTATAATAAGATTGATCAATTAAGAACACATAAACATGAGTTAGTTAATAATTAATAGTTATTAATTATTCCTAGAAAGAAACAATTTTAACACAAATCATTTGGTATCAATAAGGTATAATCAAGTTAAACTGAAACAGACAGAACCAAACAAAGAACCGATTTCAGTGAGCAATAAAACTTCTTATCTGTGGAATGTGGACATTAATGTCCTTGACAGAGCAGAATAGCACCGTATCCATAACAACCGGGGTCTAAACCAATCAGAAAACTAGCCTTGTCAAACCTTGATAAAAACCAGAAACAACAGGTGGGGGGTGAGCATTGCTTGGGAGAACTCATCTGATCAGGTTGGTTCGGAAAATGCTCCTGTATGCATACATTGTTATTTTTAATTATATGTTCTCCGAATACTTGTAACCCTTTGTCAAATAAATCTTTTGAACTAAGGTGACCGTCTCAGCTGTCTTGAACACGATTGTGGTGTAAGCCACAACAGATGGTGACCCCGACGTGCAGCTGGAGGACACACGGATTGGAACGAGTTGGTGCTGTGCACCCGCAGAGAGAACTGGGCCCGTTATCTTCTACTAACAGGTAAGCGGGTTACCTAAGTTGGCCAAAAGGCCCAAAAACTCCGCTATTCGGCCGTAAACCAAATTCAATCTAACTCTGTGGGTGTTTAATACCATCTCCGGAAATAAAGATGGTTTTTAAGCTAATTTACGGTGATTAGTGGTACTTCTGACAAACAGGGTTACGCGTATTCAGACACTTTGGGTGTTAAACGCTGCGTGCGTGTGCGTGCGTGTCCTTTGCACGGCTTAGTTTAACATTTACGTGTATTTCGTAGATAGTTTCACGAGTTGGACTCGTGTCGGAGGGTGGTCAGGGACCTGTCGAAAATACATTTCCCTTATCAGCGGCTGTGGCGGGCAGACCTTCCCGCTACGTCAGCGTCTACATTGTGGAGTGTTGACTGCCCACTAAAATTGACGCCATTAATAATTTAGTACAAAGGGAAATGTGAAGTCTGGGACTTCTAGTTAGATTTGCCAAATTTCATGTGGTCAGGGACCACATTAGTTTTAGGACGTTGTAATAACTTTTGTTTGTGCCGTGTTTTACATATTTTGTTTGGTGACGTAAAAAAAATAGAAGAAGGGGAAGTGAGTCTGCCTGGGTGTGAGCGTGCTGTGCGTGACTCGGTGTGGGGGTGTCGTGGCAGAGACTGTGTGTGTGTGAAGGGTTAGTTTTTCCTTTTTTCTTCTTCTCTGTGAGACTGTGTGTGTGTGAAGGGTTAGTTTTTTCTCTTTTTTTCTTCTCTGTGAGACTGTGTGTGTGTGAAGGGTTAGTTTTTTCTCTTTTTTTCTTCTCTGTGAGACTGTGTGTGTGTGAAGGGTTATTTTTCTGTGGGTGTTAGGTGACACGGGGTGAGTGGAGCATCCATATCCTGACTGCAAGGGGGCGCTGTTGTATAAGGCAAAGATAAGTCTGGACTCACTGGGTTTTCATACCACAGACTTGTGAATTGTTTTGTCACAACGGGGGCCAGGAGTGCATGAGAATAAAAAGATTTGAAAGCCAGATTGTGTGAATTTTGTCAGCAGATATGGAGCTCATAAATATGAAATCTGTAACTCCTGTGGAGACTCTACAGGAACAATCGAAAAGGGTAAAAGCTGTAATTAATGTTATACACGCAGCAAATGCAGGAAAATGTAAGGAACTGGACAGTCTTCTGAGTCAGCTGGTCCAGGCTGAGGAGAAATCATCAGATACACTCATACAACT